GGGAGCCACCCTCTCAAAGCATCAGAAAAGGGAGAGGTCAGAGAATCATAGAATCATTATGGTTGGAAAAGAGCTTGAAGATCATTGAGTCCAACTGTAAACCCTTCTTTGCCCTTCTTTAGACACCCTCCAGCACCTCCATGTCTTTCTTAAAGGATCCAACACTGAAAACAGTATTCAAGGCGTGGCCTTACCAGTGCCGAGTACAGGGGAACGATCACTTCCCTTCTCCTGCTGGCTACATGCTTGCTCATACAAACTAGGAGGCTGTTGGCCTTGGCCGTGCAGGCACACTCATGCCCCTCCCGTCTTTGGCTCATTTACGACCTGTATCAAGAAGTTATCCGCAGTGTTCTGCAGGAATCTGCTGGACTGTCTTTTCCTCGCCCTGAAGCAGACTTCAGAGTGGCCAAAGTCCCCCATTAGGACCGGGGCTTGTGATCGTGAGGCTTCTTGCAGCTGCCAGTAGAGGCCTCATTCACTTCCTCTTCCTCGTCAGGAGGCCTGTAGTAAACAGCCACCACAGTGTCGTGCCTGTTGGCCTGACCTTTAAACGTTCCCAACAGGGTCTCGACTGGCGCTTCGTCCTCGCCTATGCAGAGCTCCATACATTGCAGTTGCTTTCTCATATAAAGAATCACTCCCCCACCTCGCCTTACTGGCCTGTCCTTCCTAAAAAGTGTAATGCCATCCATGGCCACAATCGAGTGATGAGAGCTTTAAGTACAGTTTTACAGTTAAACAATTAAAAAAGCTCCGATATTAAAAATAGCACAGTCTTCTATTTGCTTTGCCTTAGCAAACAAGCTTCCCCTCTTTTCCTGTTTCAAACTTGCTTGATGCTATTGCTGCAGCTCACTGGTTCCCTCTATGGGGCCACATGGAAGAGAATAAATGGATGCAATCATTTCCAATCCTTTCCTTGTTTAATCATTGCGATCATATGAAAACAAAACAAAACAACACACACACAAAAAAAGAAATGCACTAATTCCGTATCATATATTCTGGGAAGGATGTGGGTGCCGCACTTGTAGGAGAGCATTGAGGACCCAGAAATCACCACGGAGCAGCCAGGAAGCAGAAGCAGAGCTCCTGGCCAGGCTCTGCCGCGGCTGCCGGGACTAAGGAAAGGAGCCGGGAGCGCAGGGGTGAGCAAGAGGCTGCAAGGAGGATTTCAAGAGCAGCTCCACCACGGCTCCTCCCATCGTAGGCTCACTTACTAGCTGTGATTGATAGAGAGTTATCTTCCATGCACTCCACAAACCTCCTAGGCTGTTTCCTATCTATCTGCTTTATTGTACCTCCCACAAACATCTGGTAGGTTGACGTCCTCCACGAGAACAAGGGCTGCAATCATGAGACTTCTGCCAGCTGCTTGTAGAATGCCTCATCAGTCTCTTCATCCCGGTTGGTCTATAGCAGACTCCCACCAGGATATCAGCCTTGTTGGCCTTCCCCGTGGTCCTGACCCATAAACACTCTGCTTTTCCATCACCCACTTGCAGCTCCATGCAATCAAAGCACTCATTCTCTAATATACATCACTACCCCACCTCCTTTCCTTCCTTGCCTGGCCCTCCTAATAGACTGTAGCCATCCATGGCAGCACTCCAGTGGTCTCATTACATTTCAGTGATGGTGACAATGTCATAGT